TATGTATATATATGTATATATGTATATATATGTATATATGTATATATGTATATATATGTATATATGTATATATATGTATATATGTATATATATGTATATATAGGACAGAGAGTTTTGTCAAAGCAGGGCTGATCCACAGGGAGTCCTGGGGTGTCTGTGGCTGTTCGTCCAATGGGGTCACAGTGTCGATGTTTTATTGATTTTGCATCTAAACATTCCTTGGAGCTTGCTCCTATCTCAAACTCAGATCAGGCCTTTTTTGAACAAGCAGGCCTCAGTCAGATCTCTTTGTTTAAGAGCACATGGTGAAGCCAAGCACATAATCAGATCCCAACACGATGACCTCATTCCTAAAAAGCTCATCATTTGTTTCTTATTTTATGGTTTCGGCACAGTTTGGATTGCCTGTGTTCTCTTGGGAGAGAGGGTTTTGCCCTCTGCTGTGATCACATATCCCAGATATGAAACTTTATCGAGAGCGAATTGCAATTTGGACAGGCTAGCCTTGTGACCATTTGCAGCCAAAATTTTAAGTAGGATAACTGTAATTGTAAATTCTAACCCTCTTCCTGCGAAAACACTACCTAGGCTGAGAACTTGGCCTTGGTGGATGCATCGGCGGCTGAGGAGGAGGAGGAGGAGGAGGACGACTTCTGCGAAGGCGTGGAGACAAGATAATCTGCATGTAATACTTTGTTAAACTATTCTTTGTTGTTAGACCTCCAAACCATCTGTGTGGAAAGAGCTCTATCCATTCAGCTGAATTATTATTAGTGTCTGTTCAATAAATATTTTTTTGATATTTTAAGAGTTTTCTCATCGCGGTTATTTCTCACAGGATCAAAGATTTTTTTTTTGTTTTTTGTAATGTGTGTTAGCTGGTCTGTGCGACCAAACTACTGAGTTAGTTTTAGGAAAGATCGTCATGTGGGTTTAAATAACTACTGAAGTTCCGTTACATTCTGGTTTCACATGGGGCACGAACAGATCGCCGGTTATTGAGAATTAAAAGAATACTTGAAAATTGACTACGTTGGCCTTGAAAATAAAGTCGTAAAAGATAAGTGTCAAAAAGAAAGTCTTTTGATTTGGAATGACCGTCAGAATATTTATTACACACAAGTAACAAGCTATGCGGATGAAGCTGCACGCAAAGAGAGAATAGAGCTACAAGAGGAGCTAACTGCCATGAGGAGGTCGTCCAACAGCTGCACGGATGATTGTTTGTTGAAAAGTTAGTCAATCCCCATAACATATGTGACAGTCATTTTGATTTTTCAATACTGCCACTGAGAGTTGCCTGTTAGATCCGGAGGTTCTCTGGCCCGATACGGGGCTACCTACTGACTCAGCTCTCTATTAAAAGATTGTCAAACTGGTGTTCTGTCGAGGAAACTCGCCTGGCTTCTGCTAACTACCGTTACTCCTGACATCTACCCTGCTTCCACTGGTAACGTGCACTCGGCCGAGGGGCCACCCTGGCCGGGCGCTTCTACCCAGTCGCGTCAATAATGGCAGCTTTCCTCTTTTTGGATCCGGGCTCTTGGTAAATTGCCAGGTTAGGTTTTAACGGCTAGGATTACAACTAAAACCGTAAGGGACTGTTAAGTGGACTGGTCACTAGGATAACCATTAAGAACTCTTGTTGTTAACATACAATCGATTTAACCTTTTACTACCATGAGGAACTTCTACTACTTCAGCAAATGAATTATCTTGAGAAATTTACTTTAAATGCAGATTAGATATTTATTGCAGGATATATTAGCAGGGGCACAGCTACAGTTCACATAAAATAATACTATACTTGATTCGATCAGGTTACAATTTCTTCTTAGGTTATACTCATTAATTTTTCGATGCCGAGGCGGCTCGGTGGAGCTGGATTCACGATGTAATAAAAAGTCCTTTTGGGGTTTTTAGGAGCGAAGGTCCGGCCGAACCTTCGGCTCCTCCTGCGCGGCCAACGAAGTCCGTTCAGCGATCCCTCAGGCTCAGTACAAAGTCTTTAGGGCGGCTGCGTCCATCTGTTGTCCGGTTGTTAAAGTCAAACAGGTGGGAGAGGAAAATCTCCGTCTTTCAATCTTTGTCCTGGAACGGCTGTCTTCTTTCCGTGAACAGAGACGAAGTCCTCCGATGCGGTTGTTGAGCGAGGTCCAGTGTTTCCTCCGTGGAGCACTTAGGTGGCTCCCGCGTTGAATCCCGTCTTGCTATTTGCAAGTTTCTCTTTTTATACCCTTTGAGCTCTCTCACCCCCCTCCTCCCCAACACTCCCTCCCTCGGCATGTGATTTACATGACATCATTGATTATGTGTGTGTGCTGCGAACAACACCCTAACATTCTGTGTGTGGATGCTCTCACTTCCTCAATGTTCGAGCGTGTTTCAGGTTACACCCGTGGATATGTTCGGACATCACCCCAACATCTGTTATGATCTCATCCTTTAAGATCCCCACCTTGCTCTCTTCAGCTCTTTCTACCCATACACAGACTTCACTTTTACTCAGTTACACATACATTATTATTATCAGTTTTCATTTGTTAAATCACTTCATTATTCTTGTTATACATACTTGCTTCAATATGATTAGATTTCATCCTTACTCATTTTATGCTTTGTGTCCCTTTAGCCTACTTTCATATCGAACTGTATTCCTTCATTTAAGGCAGCTTTCCTGGGATCTCAACCCTCTTTTTTGACATGCCAAAGTCAGATATTTAAAAAGTGGACCACCACACCAGTATTAGTCTACTGTTCAATAGCATACATTTCCAAAACAAGGCCTCAAATCTATTCACACTAACTGTAACAGAGCTATCTTAGTAATTTTGATATGATTTAAGGCAGGATGTCGTTTGCATGGTGTTTCTAAGAGTAGAGATATCACTATGTTCAGGTTTGATTATAGTTCATTGTATCATTATAGATCTAACTCGAGAGGTTTTTTGTAAACATAGTGGAAGAAGTAATCTTCCCGTACTGTTACAATATGACCAAAAGCAGACGGAAATTTGCAGATTTTATTTTCACTCACAGAAGAACAACATGGAATCTGAAACTCTATATAATCTACAGACTACAGAATGTGTAGGGTGTTGGAACCTCCTGCACATAGACTTACAAAGGCTGGGGCTTTAGTGACAGATTAACTAACAAGTTACATATATTACAATCAAATTACCAGGTATCTTCTGAATAAAATATATATATTCATATTAAAGTGCCTACATTGGTGCGTACGCCAACAACCCAGTGATGAGCTGAAACATCTTTCCCAAGCAAAGAATATAGATTGAATTTGATTTCAAAAGAGATTTAAAATATATATATATATATATATATGCATCTCCTTTAGCAACACAACCAAATACAACTTGTAAAGGCTGAACTAATTGAATGTGTGCATGACAGGCAGACAGCGCCAAATTAAAATCTTATCAAAGGGTTCGTGCAGTTCTTTTCCAGACTTGACATGAGCCCACAACCTTCAATATATATCCGACAATACTTTGTTCTATTTCAAATCTTTATAAGGAATTCTCACATTTAACAAATTAGAGAGGAGCAATTCTTTTCAGAGGAACCCTAAATACAGTTTTACAATCCTTTTGGCATAAAATCTACCAAAAAGTGAAGTCGTCCCTTCCTATAGTGAATGTTACAGAGTTTATGGTGGAACTATGGTGTTGAGAGGAGCTGTGGGTAAAAGCAGAGGAAGACTCTTGGAAGATTGAGGTGCTAATGGAGCCGCTGTTGTCGTGGATGCTTGCAATGGTGGAGGTCTAGTTGATGCAGTCCATGATGTGGATCTGCAGGGAGTCCAGGTCCGGCAGGATCTCATTGCACTTGGGACAGGCGTGTTCGGGAATATTCCCTTGATGCTGCCAGTCAGTACCTGGGAGGAGTCAGAGACACTGATCACAACCTGGACACATGTCCCAGTTACACTGGACTGAGCTGTCAATCCTGCACTCCCTCTCACACTGTGTGCTACGTTGCAGCAAGTTCCACCAATTTATGGGTTAAACCGTCGAGGTGGTTCAATGAATAGTTCGACATTTTTGGGAATTTCTTTTAATGTTCTTTCTTGCAGAGAGTTGGATCAGAAGATTGATGTCACTTCTCGTGTCTGTACGCTAATTATGAAGCTACAGCCAGTTAGCTTAGCTTAGCATAAATACAGGAAACGGAGTGAAACAGCTAGCCTGGCCCTGTCAAAAAAGCTAAACTAATACGTCTAAACTAATCAGCATGCTGCATCATGTTTGTTTTAAAACTTGTGGCCAAACTGTGGAATTACAATTTTCTGGGTCGGTCACGTGATGCTATTGGGGCCTAAAAATACTTTCCCATAGACTCACATTGTGAAAGAGACTGTTAATGGGCAGATACTTTTCCCCTCCCCCAGTGTGAACACCTATTCAAATCATTTTCAAATGTATTTTTTTGACCAAAAACAATCTCGATTGATAAATAGCCCTACAGGTAAGAGAAGAAATATGTAGTTTTGATTTTGGGATAAACTGTCCCTTTAAGACTATCAGGTAAAAACATGGGATGCAAAATAAAAAGAAAGCACATGTACCTCTTCCGACCAGACTAGCGGCGGCTCCGTGTGGATTTCCTCCCTGTGCCACGTGTCTCTTCTGCATCTCGGTCAGCGAATGCCTGTGGAGAAACACAGTGAGAAAGGGGGATGTCAGACCGCTTCCCAGCAGATCGGTGCAGTTTGTTTGTGGAGTCAAAGCAAAGCAGACCAACCATTGATTTTATTGATTTTAGTGCCTATTCTAAAGCTAAACTACGATAATATAACTGCTGTCCGTGAACTGCCATGACAGCGATCTTCCACGCAACCTGTATAAGCAACATACTGTACATGTATATATTTATGCAAGATCATTCGTTTCACCACACAGGTCCACGTGGCACTGATGATGCAGGATGACATCACCAAAACTGTCCAATGAATGAGTTACCATACAGGCTTACAGTTTGGTTACAGTGTAAAAAGGAACCAGACTAGAACTTAAAGGAGATAATGTGCTGTATTTTTCTATTTTGTTGTTCCTGAACTGAACTACAGGTGTAAAAGCAGACCTGGTCTTCCGTTTGATTCTGTACCTGCCCAGCGAGTCCAGCTCCTCCTGCAGCTGGTTGTTCTGCTTCTTTACGTACTCCAGCTGAGCAGCCAGACGCTCCCTCTCTTCGTGGAGTTTCTCCCTCGCTGCTCGCTCGGCGTAGAAGTCTGAGGAATAGACCTCCGCCTGCGGTACAACAAATAAGCATGAGGGAGACCATGTTGTCATGGGGACGTCTGATACTTCGGTAGTGCAATGACGCTTTCGTTTACTCAACATCGAGAAATCATACACCAACGCTGACCTGAGCCTGGAACACAGATATTGTCTGCAGCTCCTCCTCCTTGCTGAAGATCTCCTGCTTCATTCGATCGATGTGGTTCTGTTTAGCAGCCAGGGCCTCTTCAGCGGCACTCAGACGTTCCTGCAGCTCATCCACCACCTCCTTCTGCACCAGCAGAGACTGAAGACCAGAGGGCAAAAGGTCAAACACGTCTGGCTCCCATTTCTTTCATAACTGCATTAGGTTTGATGGAAATCAGCAGGATTAAATCTGTTGCTAAAGGGACCCCGTCATGCTATTTAAACTGACCTCTCTCTTCTTCTTATCCTCTTTGAGTTCATTGTAGTCTTCAAACAGCTTGGTGTAGGCATCCTTCAGTTGGGCCAGGTTGACCCTGTGAGGGAGAAAGAAAGAGTTACCGGTGAGTAAAAGTGGTTGAGATCCACATAAACACGACCGGTGAGTGTCTCCATATATACAGTATATACACACATGTATACATACACACATGTACACGCATGTATACATACACACGTATACATGTACACGCATGTATACATACACACGTATACATGTACACGCA